GGGAACAATCACCTCCCTGTCCCTGCTGGCCACCCCTCTTTTGATGGAGCCCAGGATCCCGTTTGCCTTCCAAGCCACAAGGGCACACTGCTGGCTCATGTTAAGTTTTTCATCTATCAAGACCCCCAGGTCCTTCTCCATTACCGTTTAGTTTTGGCATTTCAAACTGGCTTGAGAAATCAGCCAGTTTTCTGGCTAAATAACAGGAAAAAAACAAACCTATATACTCAATTTCATAGAATTGCAGAATAGTTAGGTGGGAAGGGACCTTCGTGGCTCCCCAGCCCCTTCTGCTGCAGGCTGCCTGCCCCCCAGCTCAGGCTGCCAGGGCCCATCCAAGGCCTTGGGCACCTGCAGGGATGGAGCAACCACAGCTGGAAGGACCCTGGCTGTGTTCAAGAAGTGTTCAGATGTTGTACTGAGGGACGTGGTTTAGAGGTGGATGGTTGGACTGGGTGATCTGGGAGGTTTTTTCCAACCTTGGTGATTCTGTGATTCTATATGGAGCCAAACTAATCAGAAAAAAATAGAAATGGAAAGATTCTCTAAATGACTGTCTTTGTAGATATTTAGCAAATAAAACCAAAACCCATTTCAGACTAGGAATTCCTCCACTGCTCAGAACTAACAGGTGCCTTAGATCTGCTGGACTAGCTTGTTAGCTTTGAGCTATGAAATTCTTGTGAATATGATATAACTAAAATACTCTGCATTTCTTGTTTTACTGCTGAATTTCCCTCCTTCTATAATACAAAAGCAAGCAAAAAATTGAAAACTGTTTTAACGCGCAGTTTGGTTTGACATTATTGTGATTTCAAGTTTTGTTGGATTTTTTTTTCTCCCAAAAAGCAAGCTTTTTGCTTTCAGGAAGTGAGGGAAAGCTTCTTGCTATCCAAAGTTGATGTTTCTACACACGGATGGCATATCTCATCCGTTGTTGAAGGTATTAAACCTCTTTCATAGTAGACATCAAAGACTTTCCAGCTAAATATTAACCATAAATTACAGTTACAGAGCTGTTCTTGCAAGTCATACAGGAGATCTAGATGAAAATCTCTACCCTACTCTTTTTATTTTAAATATGTATGTACAGATGGTGGAGAAGCAAGTCTCCTTAGGATCAGGATATAAAAAACGGTGAGCACAGCAGACAGCACCAGAGCTGAAAGCAACAGTGCCTAGAGCTGAAACTGAGAGCTGAAAAAGAGGTGTATCTTGTCAGACACGGGGCAAAAATGTGACTGAGACAGAACTGGCACACACCTGTGAAAGAGGATGCTCAGCAGATCCTAGCTGGGGTCCTGCACACCCAGCACTTCCTCCTGCAGCTGCCTACCTGTGGTTGAATGCCCAGGAGCTGTGTGACAGCTGTTCTCTAGCTGAACTTCTGGGCTCAGTGAATTGACAGCCAGGTTAGAGATTTCAGACTTTGCCACTGAATAAAAAGAGCAAAGGGAGACAAACTGAGGAAAGACAGGTTCTTTTCTGAATGTTAGATCGTGTCCAGCTTGTAAGAAATGAGTAGGTAGTGGCAAGGCTTTGACAAAGCCATTCCAAAAATGTATTCATAAATGCTCATATCTGTTAACTCAGTGTTCTGTTTATTTTAAGGCTCTTCACCTGATTGAAGAGATGGATCTGAACGACGATAAAAAGCTTTCTGAGGCAGAAATCCTTAAGAACCAGGATTTGTTTCTTAACAGCGAAGCCACCGATTATGGCAGGCAGCTTCACGATGAACGCTTCTACCACGAAGAACTTTAGATTATTTATTTTGTAATCTGTTTTTCTTCCCTTCCTTTCATTGGGAGCCTTTGTTAAATGCACTCACTTTTCAGCTTTGTTGGAAGTTTTACGCTGTAATTACAATAGAATAACATTTGTGTAAATACTTGGCGTACAAAATTAAATTGCCTTCCTGCAGGCTTCCCTAGGCCTCTTCCCACCTTCAAAATTAATCTTAAATACTTATTCCAAAATTACATAGCAATGGGAAAGAAATTAGTTAAGGTAGTACAGTAAATAGTACTGTGCAGGGCTGTGTGACTACACTTCAAATAAATGGGTAATCTAAATGGTTGTGAAGAAATTCAAAACAGAAGATGAGACTACTATTTTTTCTAATCAGTTTAATTAGGGAGGAGAGCAGAGAAGATAGAGGGAAGAAGTTTAGAGTGAGTATTAACTGTGTTTTATTTAATAGGTTTGGAGAAACACTTAGGTTAAATGCCTCAATTGTTTAAGAGGTTTCTACTTAACGTTAAATGGTTCCTATAATGTGTTTTACTGTATTACAAGAAGAAAAACCTGCTATTTTTACATCTACAGACAATAATTGTTTTTACGTACAGTTCTACAACACTGGCAATACGATGGTATTTTACATTGTCAAGAACTTCTTCATTTGTTGGATTAAAACAAAAAAAAATTCCACCTTTCTGTGTTTTGTGCATTTATTACATACTGTGGGTCACCTGCAGCAGCTCCTTGAAGTGTGAGCAGTGTGCAGTGTACTGAATCATGGAGTGGCCTGGGTTGCAAAGGACCACAGTGCTCATCCAGTTCCAACCCCCTGCTATGTGCAGGGTCTCCAACCAGCAGCCCAGGCTGCCCAGAGCCACATCCAGCCTGGCCTTGAATGCCTGCAGGGATGGGGCATCCACAGCCTCCTTGGGCAACCTGTTCCAGTGCCTCACCACCCTCTGGCTGAAAAACGTCCTCCTAAAGTTGATTAGGGAATGATCAGCTCCTCCTGATTGATTTGGGAATGATGCCTGAACGCTGCTTGGAATACTGAGGGCAACTCCACTACACCATGTGAAGGCAGCATTGTGCATTCCCTGGCAGCGTTCATAGGTTTTTATACTAAAGGAATATTATCAGATCTAGATGCCAAAAAAAACCCCTAAGTTTGTAGTTAGCATTTTCTGAACATGTTTGCAAAAGTAGCGTGGCGGTGGTTTGGTTTTTTTTTTTTTCCCTTTAAATTTGGGATAGAGGGAAATCTAAACCACTGAGACACTGCACAACAGTTGTAGTAATAATCTCAAAAAAATCAACTTCAGCTGAAATCCCCACCCTTGTCATTCATAAAAGTGAGTACCGTTCTGTTATGTGATTACTTGAAATAAGCCAGAAGTTTTATAGCATGACAGATTCAGTTTGGGAAAGCACATATGTTCACTTCTCATCCCCTAGGAAGTCACTGGAATTAGCTGAGTGCTCTGAACAGAGCCTAGCAGAATAGACTGGAATTTTGAGACAAGTCTAAACCAATTCAACTTCACACTCAATAACCAGCTTGAAAACTCAGCTCCCAAAGGGGGGAGATAAAGGGTGCCTCTATGGTTGGCTCCTGGTCACAGCTCGGAGTCATTTGTTGGGTTGCAATCACTTGCAAAATTGGGAATAGGAGGAAGTTGTAGCGAGATACCAGTAAAACACCAAAGACCACACAATTCATAGAGCTCACATCTCAGAATCTGTGCCAAACACCCAATTTAGTGCTCATTTCAGTCTTTCTGAAAGCAAGTCATGTTAGGTATTATTAGAGCTTAGCTCACTGTGTGCTGGGAAGAGAGCTGCAGCCTTCCCAAATTTGTAGCTCTTAATCTAATTTTATGGATATACAAAACCAGTCCTTCAAAAGGAGACAATGTAATTGTTAATAAACTGTGATGTGGATTCGGAGAAGCGCTAAGCTCAGCCCTTTAACACCAAACGTTTCAGTAATTCCTAGAATAAATTAATGCAGACTTCTTTTGATTTCTGATAATGGCTTCAAAATTGGACTTCTTTAAGAAAGAAAGCCTAATAGTGCTTCACAAACCGAAAGAGATTTGTGGCTTTTGATAATTTAATCTAGCACTTAGCTTGGCCAAAGCGAACATGCACCGCTTCTGTTCACCCAGCCAAAGCAGAAGCAATGGGAAAGCAGCTCCACTGTGCCTGGGGAGAAGCTTGTCCCTCACCCAGCACATCCCCCTGCCAGGTCTTACAGAAGGTTCTACACAGCCTTTTAGCTTTAGAAGTGACCACGTGAGCTCAATCACGGAGACAAAAGTGTGTTTCTCTTGTGCCATTGCTCCGGCAGGTGCAGCTGATGCTTTGTTTTGGAGAAGCCTCCACGTGGGGCATCCTGCAGGTGAGCAGACCTCCAAAAGGCACACTGAACTATCCCCTCCTCCTTACACATCTCTGTGCCTACTCCAGCAATGCATGGAGAAAGACAGAAAAAAAAAAAGGGGGGGGGATGACTCTTGTCTGCTTTCTTAGGGCCACAATATCAGCACTCTGTGTTTCTGCCTGTCTTGTCCCCTTTTCTCTTTTTCTCTCCAATCACAAACCTCACCAGACAAAACTGAGCTATTTTGGAAGCTGAGAGCAGTCAGCTGTGTTTCACTCCAGGATCCCCTTCTAAAGACTCAGAGCAGATCTGATCGAACTGCTGCACGACTTCTGCCAGCACAACTTCTAGGGGTCTGGTTCAGGCTGTGGTCAGATGGGATAGCTCCAAACAATGGACCAAAAGAAAAACACACACAAAACCACAAGAATTCAGTCCACAAAGCAGAATCTCTTATGCTGCATAAAAGCTACTTGCATGGACGTGTGCTGCAACCCCTCTGAATGCTGCTGGCATGCAGGCATAAGGAAAGGCTTGCTCACAAAGAGTATTATTTTACTGGCCTATCTGATCTATGAAAGCAAAAATGAAGATACTGAGAAAACAATCCACAAGGAAGGCATTGCAAATAATTGTTTGGAGAAAGCTCGTCATGATCTTTTAAATTTTAACAACAGCAGAAAAACAAGAGGGAGCAGTGCTAAGTATTAGGCATAACCACTGACAGAGCTGACCTGTGATCCACCTGATCAGGATTTCTGGCACATTTCTAAGTGAGAAAATATACAGAAGATTTGCTAGACGTGCCAAAGGAGCCTTACCTCATAATACTAAACAACTCAGTGTATTACGTATTATTTAGAGCCCCTAACACTTTCTGTTTACAAGGCACTTAGCACCAAGCATCTCCAGCAGATGCCGTGGTTACAGAGCACAACAAGTGCTTTGTTCTGCGTTCAACACAATGAAAAAGGAGCATCAGGTATAAAATTCCAACCAGTAAGCATATACTGGAGGCTTTCTTCTCTATGCACAGTTTTCATCCAATCTCCGTGTCCCTAAAAAGGATGATCAGATCACTCCAGCTTCCTAAATGTTAGGGATTCCCCCAGGAAAACATACTGACAGGACCAAAGCACAAGGAGTCACAGCCCTTCTCAGAGGCAGCACTCCAGCATCTCCCTGAGAGTGATCTGTGTATACCCACGTTGTGCTGGAATAAGTGCTGTGTGATGAAGGGCTTTTCAGCCAGACAGGCTCTGATTTGTCTTAACTGCAGACGTATCATCGTTGTGCTGAAAGATCCATTCTAGCAGGCTTTTCATTTTTTTAAGAGGATCTTTGTTTTCTGAAGCCTATGTAGCTTCTCGTTTCTCCATTACCACTCCTATCGCTCTCTAAATGAAAAGATGAGTAAGAAAGGCTCAAACCTCCATCCACCACAGCACAGAGGATCTCACTGGCTGCCACAGGACTTGGGCTCCGAGGCACCCAGCACTTCCATGCAGCTCAGGCCCTTTGGGTCAAGCTGAACTAAACACAACTAGCAAGCAGCTAACGTCTTGGATGGCCAAAATGCTTTTTTTTTCTTTTTTTCCCCTTCACTGGATGCATATTTCATGAACTCCAACAGCAGCAAAGCTATCAACTTCAAAAGCTGTAATTTGGAAATAAGAAAGATGAGATTCCATCTTCGATAGACTGAGATAAAACATTCTTTAAAAGACTTTTTTCTAACACATCAAGTGCGCTGCCCTCAAAACGAGTTTTTTTCAGGCAATTATCACTTGTGAAAGAAACCTCTGCTCATTCCTCCTCAGCACCCCTGCAGAGAATCTTTGCATTTCTCCATCTCCCTGAGTTATGAAGAAATTTTCCTGCCATTCACGACAATCAAAGAGGTTCCCAGCTCCGGCCCTGCACACTCTCTGTTCTGCCCTCTCCTGCCTGCATGCATTTCGATTTCCCTTTCTGTGTGTGTGTGATCCCTGCACCCTGCACTGCTTACCTTCAGGCCCTCAGGAAGTAGAAATGCCAGTTCTACCTTCTAGCAGCCCGTCAGGACAAGTCACTAGCCAGGTGACCACAGAAAACTCCAGCCACACACTGCTGCAGGTCCCTGTGCACATCTCAGTGCCCCACTGGAGCTCAACAGAGCTGAGACTTCCTGCCCTAGGACTGCTGCTGGGGAGCAGTAGGAGAGCTGGCAGAGCTGGGCATCACCAGAAGTGCTAATAAGTTACAGCTGTTAGCCCAGGTATGCTCTTGGTGTTGGAAGGACACATTTTTGCATAGGTAACTAGAGTGGGAACTTTTTCCTTTTACCTACTCCTTAAAAATATCAGCGAGTGTTTTAAGATACAGAATTCCTAACACATCCCAGGGAGGTGGACAGGGACAACTCGACTTGTAGGAAAGGTATTTTGCTGAGGGTTTCACGTAAGCATCAGACATGAGTGTTAATTACCTGCAGCTGCAGTGCAATAAAGCCTTTCCCTGATGTGGCTGCTTGCAGGTCTCTGTCTCAGTGCAGTGCTGGGTGTGGGCATGCTGGTGGTTCACAGATGCACTTGTTCTGCTTCACTTCAGGTCCTTCTGCTAATAAACTCTTACGTCTTTTACCACAAGTGTTTCTAGAGTTTGGATTTTACTTCTACATTTCACATATCCTGCTTATTCATAGCAGCATTTACATAAGGGAGGCAAATCTCTTTGAAAGGGTGAGTGACTGCAGGACAAGGGGAAATGGTTTTAAGTTGAGGGAAGGGAGATTTAGGTTGGACGTCAGGGGGAAGTTCTTTACAGAGAGAGTGGTGAGGTGCTGGAACAGCTGCCCAGAGAGGCTGTGGATGCCCCGTCCCTGGAGGTGTTCAAGGCCAGATTGGATGGGGCCCTGGGCAGCCTGGCCTAGCATTAAGTGGGAAGGTTGGTGGCCCTGCATGTGGCAGGGGGTTGGAGATTCGTGATCCTTGAGGTCCCTTCCAACCCTGGCCATTCTGTGATCCTGTGAAATCAGAGCCCTTCTCCATATGCACACGTAGGTATCTCTACACATGTGCTCAGACACCTGCACAACTGCAACATCCTCACTTCAACCAGTCTTGAAAAGCATTCTCATTTGCAAAACAGAGTTTTGCAGCTCCAGTTCCCATGCACAAATATACGGGTCTCTGCCAGCCCCAGGAGGTGTGAGAGAAACGTGGCACGCACATCCATTTCTTTCATTTCTTTTGCTTTGTTATCCCGTGCGAGCCCATATCGTTACACGACGGTGTGACTCTGGTTTCCTCCCCAGTTTCTCTCTCTGCATGGTGCTGGCTGTCTTTGCGTTTTAATTGCTCTCTCTCCTCCCGCGGCTGATCAAAATCACATCGCTGAATTCTGCTTTCTTCTTTTTTTCTTTCTGCCAGCCGCTCACATGCACACATGGCACGGAGCAGACTGACATCACTTGACATCTCCGTGCTTCCTCATTTCAATATTAACTGTTTACCAGAAGAGAAACTGGTTTGGCGCGGGGTTGCTACGTTCACGCGTGCCTCTGTGTGTGAGCAAGAGCTTTTTTTTCCCCTCGCTGTCCCTTCACAGCTATAGGTCATTACACCGAGCTGCCTGAAACTGCCTGATGCTATTTTTCACCAGCGTGACTTTAGAAGAGACAGCTGTGTGGATGTGCTCCCCTTTCTGCCTTGGCTGGGGCATAAGAACAACTGCAAAGCCCGCTGCTGCTGCTGCCATCTGAGAGCCAACCTGCTGAAGGACCTTTGCCCTCCCCAGGCCGATAATAATGACACAGATGCAGTTTAAAGATGCATTTTGGGTAAGTGAGCGTTTCTGCCACGTTTCCTCTACTAAATACGTGCGTATTTAAAACATTTTGTTAATACAGCTTGGCTCTGACTACAGTTTCAAGCTGACTTTATCCTAATTCTGTGTTTTAAATTCAATTTATTAAAAAAAAAAAAAAGGAAATTTGTCTCCAAGCAAAAGCATTCAAGTGTGGGGTAGTAGGCCAGTGGAATCACTTGCACAGCATCAGCTAAGCCAGCAAGGTGCAAAGTGCTGCTGCTCACCCTCCTGGGGAGCCCATGGCTGCTGCTATGTGCCATAGGCATGCACAGAACTCCAGCAGCACGGGGCAAAGGACCAGCAGTGGAGCTTGAGAACTAAGCCTCAGTGCTCACAGCTGCTTCTGGAGTTAAGGAGAAAACCAGAAAACAAGAAACCCCGAAGACATAAACCCAAAACATTGCCAGGTTGGGTGAAGAGCACGTTCAGTAGTTCCTCCTGTCCAGGCAAACGTTTTTCCAGCACCTGGTATTGACTTAAGACATGAAGGCAGATGAAATCCTCCTGCCATTCTCCTGTCAAGCTAAGTAGAACTGGCCCTTCGCTGTGTGTTTGCTTTCCGTGCTTTCTTTCTATCCCCCTTTCCTGCAGGGTAAAACCCCTCCTGGTCTGCAGTAGCAGGGCAGATGGCTGTGGGCACTGCTTTCCTCCAGGCACCCCCAGCCCCAACTCGATCAGATTTAACCAGTTAAAAAAAAAAATTGTAATGAGGAAATACAAATGTTCCTTTTGATGTTAACCCAAACTGTGCCAGGGCACACCCACACAGGGCTCTCCCTTACTCTTCTTTATGCAGTTAACTAACTGCGTGCTCAGATGCACAAAGTATGGCACAACCACAGCCCCGTGCAACTGCAGGAAATTCAGCTTTTGCATTTCTCGACGTCCTTCCACAAAGTGCAATCTGACTTTTAGAACCAATACATTTTGTGTATTTACTTTCTAGGATCTTGGTCTTTAGCTGGAATAAATCAGGCACGTCCCATGGGCTCAGCAGGTGATTAATGCCACTCACCAATCTGGCCAGGCCAGTTCTTTGTGGCTCCTCTTCCCCAAGCTTCTCTCCTGGCCTTAGTCATGCTAGCATGAATGTCATCCTGGCTTGGCTTTGAAGCTACCATCTGCTTTAAAGGAAAGTATCTTTGTTTTTAATATTGTTTGGCTTGAACATAATACCGCCAAGCTTGTTTAATCGGACTGAACTACATCTGGATATCATGTAGTTTTAGCTGTGCAATAATAAGTCTTTTAAAAAGAAAACTTAGAGGATATTGCACAATGTAGCAAAAGAGCACAGCTTGCCCCCAAAATCACAAGATCAGCAATTATTTTTTGCATTCATAACGTTCTGCTGTGCCCGTTAAAGGAACGGAAATATATTCTCTCAGTTTGCCTCAGCGAGCAACTATCTGCTTTGTTCACTATTGCTATGAACTGAGACAGCCCTCATGGTTTAAACCCAAGAACTGTTACATTGCAGCCATACCAGTCCTGATCTCCAAGACCTGTCTAAAGGCATCACTGCACCCTTCCCCTGGAATTTAACATCTCTGCTCTTTCCATCAGAAGCTTTTGGGCAGGCAGGAGTTCCTTCAGTAGCTACTGCACTGTGAAATACTTACACAATCCCCTGCAACAACACATCTTCCTCAACCAGAACAGGAAGAACACCATCCATTCTGCTGCAAAGTCCCTCCACCTTCCTAGGCTGTGCTGTGCTTCAGGAATATGCAAACTCTTCCTCATAGCTCATCTCATTTTTATCCTTGCTTTTTGCCTATTAAATGTGGCAGTGCCAGGGCTATGCTAAAAGTTTCCTACTTCTGCTATTTTTTTTATTGTCTGCGTACCACAGCCTGGGCTAAAACCACTCTGCTTTTGGTTACTCTGTTTGGTTTGACACCTTCCACACACGCTGGTTTAATGGTTTAAAAGAGAGTTGCTTAAAGCCCCCACTAAGATGCAGTCCTTTGTAATAATTTCCTATCCTCAGACAATACTTTTCGGAAAATATTAATAAGAAGAAAAGACAAATCAGTTTTGATAGTAGGCAATTGCTCAAGGCATTAATATTCTTTCTGTCCCATTGTACGAATGCAAGAGATGTTACCTGTCTAATCACATTAGGTGGGCAGGTAAATTCCCTGCTAATGGGGAGCACGCCTCTGCTTCCACCTGAATTTCACATTAACAGGATTATATCAATAGGAGAGATCTGAGCAACATTCAATTTTTGTTATAACAACCCATTTACCCGAAGGGAAAATCTTTCCCCTTTTCTTTCTTGATCTCCTTCTATGTTCTTGTACTCATTTGATGCTCCACCAGAATTCCCACTCTTGCCTTTTCCTTCAATTTAGATTTTCTCTGCCACGCTGCTCCGCAGCAGCCTGGTGAGACGTGGCCATTCCTGGCCATGAGGAACGGGCACTCAGCAGCATCACAGCATCACTCTGCCTGCAGAATTCTCTACCTACAAAACACTCAAGGCTATGACCAGATGCTGCAGCACTGGGAGCCACGTAGGTGCTTAAAACAAGCCTGATATAGGCAAAGATCTTTTAAAATCTTTCTTGTTTGGCTTTAGACTGTAGTCTATGCTGGGTTTAAAGCAAAAATCTACCTCATACGTGAGGCTCTCACCTGCTGCCACAGATTTCTCACATAACATTATATGCCCAAACAGAAGTAATCAGTTTCATAAATAATTTTACTTCTTGTGAGCACTTACCCTATGAAATGACTATAAAAGATACATTATGTGTCACAGCAGGACTATTTTCTGGACTTACTCGACAACATACCCAAGAAATGCTATATCACTATTTCCCTATCACTATTTCCCCTTAGGATGCCTTTTTTAGACCAGGTGCTACCTTTCCTGCAGAGGCTGTTACACCCTGTGGAGCTGCTTTCTGAAATAGGTTTGGAGGAGGGACAGAGCCACCCAACGTTCTGTGCTGGCATCTCAGCTCCACAAGTGGGCTCCCCCAGCTTCCATTTGGATGGGAGTGGATTGTACTGGTTGTAGCTGTCTTTACAGACACGAGGCACACCAAAATAATTAATCTCACTGCACACTGTAAAGCAGGCAAGTTCCACCGTCAGTACATCCTGCAACTTTCTGCATTACAAAAGTGACTAGAGGCAGACTTATGGTCACATCCCTGTGCTGACAGCAGCCCTGCTTACAGCCAGCACAAGTCCATATTGGTGGATGTGAGCAGAAATGGGGAACAAAACGAGAACCAGCGTGGAGAAGTCAGACTGACTGGCCAGCTGAATGCCTGTGTTTGTTGTGAGGTCAGCTTCATCTCCATGGAAGGTGCTGCTCTATTCCCCTTCTATGTGTTATTTCTCCCTGTATTCCTCCATAGTTTCCACTGTGGCCAAGATGCTTTACTCACTGAGGCGACAAGAAGCACCCTGGGGAGGGGGGGTTGCAGTCTCAGAACAGTCACTGAAACCACAAGAAATCACAAGAAGAATACTTGCTTACTCGCGGCTGTGGAAATACTGATGTTCCAGGAAACGCTTTGAAGCAGAGCACAACAATTAAAATGAAACTCATATGAACTGATACTGATGGCGACGCAAACACATTCACAGCTTCTTCCACCTCCCATATTCCTGGTACACTACCTAGGGGCTGCACGAGGAGCCACTGACAGCACATTCAGGGCGGTTCATTTCCTTGGCGATGAGCTGGAGATGAAGGACTGCGGGATTATTTCTGCAGATTTTGCTTGTGTGCTCTGTCAGCTATGGCCCGAACGTGGTACACCAGGCTTGAGCATCTTTCTGCAAGGACAAAGGGTACCTGGGCAAGAGCTAAGTGCAGCACTAAGGCCTTGGAAGAGTTTCTAGAGTAGGTATGATGAATGGGTTGGTGGAAGGCTCATTTTAGATCAAGTAAGTTCAGTAATTTCTAATTAAAAACAATTAGACCTTTAATGGTTACACTTTATTATTTTTTTCTGATGATCGTGCTGCAACTGAATGCAGCATCTAGAAGGTTGGATGGTTTAAAATGGCTGATGGATGAAGTCACAATGATAATTTAGTTCATATTCTTACAGAGGTATGTCCACTTCGATTTGATCTCTCCTGCTCTGCAAAAGTGGTTTGGTTTGGACACAGGGAAATGGGGGGTTCTTATTTATGCTGACTTTAATTGTGGCACTGCTATGTGTTATAGATACAGAAAAGGTGACTCAGACTCTTTTCACTCTCATTTACTTAGATATGTCTGATGAACACAACAGAGATCTAAAAGTATTTGTCGCACATGCCTTGAAACAGAGGCTGCAGATTGGAGCAGCACTTCAAGCAGAGATCAAAGCAGGAGCCCTCAGGTTTGCCAAAGTAGGCAGCAGAGGTGAACAGCATGTCCAAATCCTCCTCTCTGCCAGGACTGGGTGGTTCATTACCCATCCCATCCCTCCCTTGAGACATGCACTGCCCGTTATGCACTGAGCAGCTGCACCACGTGTCTCCAAAATTTACACTCCCTGACCAGGGACACTGATCCTGTCTTCCTTTGCAGGCATGAATTTCAATCCACTTCTGATTATTGCATACTTGTATGGAAGGCAAATTAGGCTGCTTCATAAAGAGATTGTTTTTTGATATTCGTCAGCTCCTCTGAGCTCAAAAAGAGCTCCATATTTTGCTTTCATGCCATACTGCAGCAAGGTAGATTCTGGCTGGCAGATGGCACATTAAGCACTTGTTTAATCTCCTGTTTAATCTAGGTTTTATAATAAAACATTTCTCAGCAACCACAGTTCAGTAACTTACAAAGTTCCCCATGTTGTTCAGTAGGAATGTGGGGGTTTGAGGTGACAGCTCAGGTCATAGCTCTGTGCTGAGGGCATCAAGGAAAAGAAAAGAGAAAAAAAAAGATACTGAAAATGTGCATCCAGATCCCAACAGCATCTCAGTTCCCTAAAGAATTGCTCCTTTATTAAA